GTAGAGCAGGTTAAGGAGTTGTTTTATTTGACATTGTATACTTGGTTTAATGGTGTGGCTATTAGGCATATAGATGGGCTGCCCAATTTTTGTTGTTTCCTTTCTGATTTGTATTGATGATACACATCCTGTGTATCAACTTTGATTAATATAATATTCGATTACCTTTAAAAAAAAAAAAAGTTTAGGTGGCAGAGCAGATTGAAGCTTTAGGTTGTTTTGGAACAGTTTTGGGCTTGAGGTTGATGCTATATTATAGGTTAAATTGGACGTTCTTCAAGGAAGAGAAGGTATTGGTATAATATCTCAATTAAACATGTACATGAACGCTTGTAATCACTGTTTCTGTTAAAATAGAATGGGAAAAAAATCCACATACATCGTCTCCTATCCAGCTTCCTGTATACATATCAATTGTGTCTATATATGTGTTTGGGTTCGAAAATCATTATCCTTTTCTTTATAGTATATCAATTTTGTCAGAGAGAAGACATTTTACTGATTTCTCGTTTCTCGATTCTTCTCTTTCTGATTAAAGTAAATTTAAGTAGCTTTTTGATATCGCTATCCTTTTTGTGATCCATTGACCTCTCTTTCTCTTTTTATGTTAATGGCAGGATTTAAATTCTGCTTACCAGAGCTTTGCTCGACTACATAGTGGATTTTTTGGAATGCCTCACATGTATTCCATTGTCAGACTCCTGGGGTCTAGATCATTGCCATGGCTCATCAGGGCACTATTAGACTATATCTCAAATAAGGTACCTATTATTGCCGCTGACTTCTACTGTGATGAATTTGGAGAAGGATGATGAATTTCTGTTTTTGAAGTTTTTCCTTGTCTGTATTTCATTGTTCTCATCAGTTTTCTGAGACATTTTCAATAGCAAATACTGATTAGGAGTAATTGCTAAATCAAAAATATCCCTCGGGTTATTGGTACTTCTAGATTGGAAGTAAAATATAGTTACTACGTGCTTGTTTGTAAAAAAATATAATCTCATTTTAATTTGCTGTCAAACATTAATTTCAACCATACATTTACAACTACTACCCATTTATTATCACACATTTCGTGGGACCCACTACTCTTTTTCATTATAATCTCGTTATAATTTCCTCCAAACAAGCACTACATGAAGTTACTTGTAAGGAGATGGTTGATTTGTGTGGGTGATGATGATATAAACCTGTGAGATGATGCTATTTCGAATTTCACTACTTTTTACTGTTTTTAGTAAAGCTGTCTTGGCATTTATCTGCCACCATATAAATTCAATTTAGTTTTGGAACATTTGTTCTCTCAGTATTGCCCTTCCAAAAGTTTTATTCTTACATTATTTGATATTTGTGCTAATTTCCTTGTTTCATTATAAAACACGAAACTAATAATCCTGTGAAGTATTAGTCGTTTACCTCACATTGAAGTCTTTAGCAGTCATATTTCTGTGATCAATTTCATGTTTATATATGTATAACTTACAAAAGAAGTTATATTCCAACCTTTTGCTATTACTATTTCAGATAACTACCCTAGAACCAATGATCGCTGGACTGCAAGAGGCTTTACCAAAATCTATTGGATTACTTCCCTTTGATGGTGGTATGGCAGGTAAATGGCTTTAGATTGTTCATTTCAAAGTCATCTTATTCGTCTATTAGTGCTATAGATGGTATTTATGAGTTCTTTATGCATTCTGCCATTGTTGGCATAATTGTAGATCCCAGTTTTTAGTTATTAAAAGAGAAATTATTTGTTTATTTTATTTTTTCCAAGGGATTTTCTCAGCTTCTTGTTTATCATAAAGTATAAGGAAAAGCATATATGTAATTATTTAAAGGATTTGTCATTCACTTCACAATATCAAAATTTTATGGAAGGACATGTTCCGATGAAGGACTTGTGGTACATTACCTGCACTTCTGGATTGCTTTATTGACAAGTTAGGCATATATTTACTGGCATTGCATTTATGTGGTCTCCTTTTCGACATGTTAACAAGGCTTTCCCCCTTCTCTGTTGATAATGGAATAATTTTTTCTTATTATAAGTATAAAAGAGCCTTGATGCCATTCTTATTATCTCTTGAGGCTCTTGGAGGTTCTGTTTTTCTTATGGTACTTGAGGAAGTTATATTATATATTTTCTTATGGTCAGTATCGTTATTCGCTGGTGCTATAAATATTTTGATGTTGAATTATTAATCACATAACGCAAAGATTAGCATATCTATGACATTGTTGGGGAGCATTTAGTAACTGTTTGGATAAAAGCCCAACTATGAATTTCAGTGGTTGCATTTGTTTTTGTGTTTATAGGGTTTGTCTTTTCTTCTGTTTCATTGCTTGATCATTCTTATTCTTATGCTCAGGCTGTATGAGGATTGTTAAAGAGCATCTTAATTGCTGGCATTCCAAATCAGACCTTAAAGCAGATTCTCTTCGTGGAATAAAGGAAATTGGAAGCGTGTTATACTGGATGAGTCTGCTCGATATTGTCATGGTGAATTGCTAATGGCCCTTATTTCATATGCAATCATGGTTTTGTTAGGGAGTACTAGAAGCTGCAGATTTGATGGAAGAAATTGAAATTTTTTTTTCTGAAAAATTAGCTTCTGGAACCAAGTAAAAGATTGCTATTTTGACACTGTCCGGAATTATAGGAGGCGGAAAAGAGAAGACAAGGAGACAGGGAAAAGCCAAGAGAAGAAATTTTAGAGATCAATAATCAAGTCTAACTATTATAATGCATAAGCTCCCTTTATATATATAGGGTTTAAACTAATCTAATTAAGTAGGAAACAACTAATGAAATCCTAGAAATACTTTAAAATAAAACCCTAAGTACTCTTTCTAAAATAAGACTTGAAACTAGGAAAATCTACCTACAATAAATCTAATAGGATCCCCATCATTTCTCGCTGATTGAAGGAACTCGACTTCGACGAGGTAGACTACAACTTCTTATCCAAGGAGGCCGATCTTTGTTCTCGAACAAATAACCATACTGACCAAACAATGACAACCGAATGTGAAAGTTATCCTCAATAATATCATGTGACCAAGGGTGACGATCTTTCATTCGAATCAAATATCGACAATGAACTCCAAATAGATACAATGAGTGCAACTCATTACAAAAACTTCGACAAAATTTACATCTTTCTATATATAAAGAGTGCCTATTTAACGGAATTTGTTGGTTTAACGGAAAAACTAACGGAATTTGTTGTTTTAACGAATTATGTAACGGAATTTCTTGTTTTAAACATGCTGTTGCACCTTCTTTCAGTGTTTTTATCATAACTTTGTATTCCG